GGATGTGCATTTTTAAGCATTTAGGCATTTTTTTTTTTTTTTGAATTTGTTTGGGTTGATTCTTTTGTACACTGGTCCCTTTTCAAGTCTCACAGTTATCAGGAGGGACAATCTTTTGTTCTATTGTTGTCCATTTTGTTACCACCATTTTTGCTTTTTGAATTAGGTCTCTGGTAGTTGGTGGTCTTTGAATGGTTGTTCGGTATGTTTGTCCAGCCTCACTCCTCCTTTGTAGTTGTGTGAAAACGACTGCTATCGCATCCTCTACTTACAAGATTGTGTTCAGAAAGACGATACAACATTTTTTTTTTTTTCTTTGAATGACACCATAAGACTTTTAAGAGTTCAGTTTAAAAGTTTAGTTTGTTTGGATGACTTTCTGAATGTGAAGTAGAGAATGTGTGCAGCTTCATTCTGAATCTCTGTTCCCCATGTGAGAGATTTTTTTTTTTTTTTTGGAATGGTGATAGTCTTTTTAGAATCCAGCAGTAGATATAGTGTGGTTTGTGAGTCGCAAAAATATTAAACAAATGAATAAAAATAAGGAAATCAAATGAGTTTTTTGTTTGGCAAAAAATACTAATAATCTACTTGAAAATGCAATGCTGTAAAAGACACTGGGGGGCAACGTTTGATTTGGGGTAATAACCCATCATGATAAGACATGACTACAGTCTTTGTTTTCTTTTAATGTTTTGTTTTTCTCTCCAGAGACCTGCATTGCAATTGAATGAGATATGTTGTTGTTGTTGTTGGTTTTTTTTTTTTGTGTTTGTTTATTTGTTTATTTGGGGTGGGAGGTTGTGTGAGAGAGCGTGTGTGGGTTTTTTTTTTTTTTTTTTTGGGGGGGGGGGGGGGTCTCTGTTTCTTTTGTAATTTTAATGGTACACACTATTGGTGCTATAAATACGTTCAAAATATTTTGAAGTTGCAGTTTTATTATATGACTCTTGATTTAAAGATGACAAAAATTTTATTTGTTGTCCCTCAGATAACCTATAAGAAAATTAATAGAAAACTTGCCCTTCCTAGTTAATTTGGCTGGATTTTTATTTTAATGAAACCTATCTGTTGTCTTACTCTCCTGTAACAGCAGAAGGAGAAATACTTGCAGGTAGCATGTCTTCATTTTCTATCCATCCTCGGAAAGGCCAAAACTGGTTCTCCCTGCTGCAGCTAAACAGATTGATAGCAGTGTAAGTGGTGGGGCAAATGTTCAATCTAAAAAAAGGCGTAACTACACTAAGGTACAAATGCTTTTTGTTCTCCATATGGGTTTTGTTTTTATTTTATTTTTATCTTTTGGTGTTCACTATATCATGTTGAAATGAAATATTAAGTAATGTCAGTGTGTGTGTGTGTGTGTGTGTGTGTTGACATAGAACTTGTGAAACTACTGGTTCAGAATGAGTGGTTGTTGATTTTTTTTTTTTTTTTTTTTTTTTTTTTTTTTAAATATGTGTATGGTGAGCTTCACCTTCATTAATTTGGCCTAGCTTGAACTAAAACCCTGATCCAATTGGCTACCAATTTGTCGTGGCACATGTGCCTCCCTGTGTGACCTTTGCTTTTGAAACCCCAAAATATTTGCAGATAAGCATGTTTCCTAAAAGGTGTTTTTCTGTCTGATCTTTTATTGTCTTCTCATTTGAGGATAGTAGCAGTGTGTATATATTCTTTTTATTTTCATATTTAATTTTTTTTTTGTTGTTGTTGTCATATCATACCCCAAACTGAAGCACAGATTACCAAAATCATCCCTCTGTCATGGGTACATGTCAGCAGTGTACACAGTAATGCACTGTCGCAGGTAAAGGTGTTTTTATTTTGGGCATGGCTTTGACATGGCTCTGTAGAAAATTAAGATTTGAAGGTCCAAAGTTTTAGTCCAATGCCGCTTGATTTTAAAAAAGGGCCCCCCAAGTAGCTGAATGGAAGGTACTTAACTTCAGGGTCTTGTCACCTTTCTTTGAGACACTCAGGAATTTTTTAATATAAGCATACTGCATAGTCTACACTCAGACCTGTGGCAGTGCATTGATGCATCAATGTAAAACATTTTCTTCAAATGTTGAACAAATTATTGACAGGAGTTCTTTCCAAACAGCAGAGGTGACTGTCATTAATTTAGAGCTGTAGTTTTAGGAAGGGGGGAAAAAAGAACTAAGCCATTGTAAATTGCATAAGCAATGTGGAAGGGAGTCCCACGAGCCCCAAGTCCTATGCAATACCTTGGCGCATGGAAACATTGAAGAGAATATGGAGAAATGTCCTTTAGTTACTTTTGCATGTGGATCGCTTTTGAGTGAGGAACACATGGGACAGAAAAAACAAACTTATGGAATGTCTCTAAAAATACAGCATGCAAACATCACACTCCATCTTTTTTAGTTGGATTATTATGGGTAAAAAAAATAAACTTACGAGTGAGGTTAAAGTGATTGAAAGAATGCTATGACTGTGTGTGTGTGTGTGTGTGAAACTGTCAGTGAATGTGTGCAAGAAATCACAAAAAACACTTACTTGGGAGTTCTGTATTTAACTCTTCCATTTTGATAGGCTGTGTTTGAAACAAAATGTGACGAGTAAACGCATTCAGAGAGGGTTTGTGTTCGGAGAGACTTCTTACAAGCAAACTTTCAACTGCGCTGTGTTCTGAACAGCATATCCAGCACAGAAAACCCAAGTTTTCCTCGTCTGTTCATTCCCAAGTAGATGATGCTCCTTTGCCCTCCCTCTTCTCTATGTTCCTGAACCCTATGTATCCTGCGTAGCTGTGTTCTTATTTCATGTTCACCCTGAGTAAATTATTTTTGTTTCATTGTGGATTTTCTTAACACATAATAAAGGATTAAACCAAAATGCAGTCTGTAGGTTCCTGTGTCTTTGCATTATCTAGAGCAGGTGTGGGCAATTCCAGGCCTCGAGGGCCGGTGTCCTGCAGGTTTTGAATCTCACCTTGGGTCAACACACCTGAATTAAAACGATTCGTTCGTTACCAGGCCTCTGGAGAACTTCAGGACATGTTGAGGAGCTAATTTAGCCACTTAAATCAGCTGTGTTGGATCAAGGAGCTGTGTTGGACTCGAGGCCTGGAGTTGCCCACCCCTGATCTAGAGTGTTGAAAGGAAATAGGAGCAGCGTTACATTTTAGCTCGTCAGCCTCACGGTGACACTAGAGAGCAGGTGAGGCACTGCCAACTGCTTAAGTATTTATAGCACATGTCAGACTGCAGCTTTTATTCTTGCGGACAATGTTTTTAAGATCCTGTATACTTTTGTGTACCAAAGGTGGTTTTCCAACACATTATTAGCTGGTTTTTGAAAGGCTAATATAACAGCAACAGCCTTAAATAATTTATCCATTGCACTGAAGAATTGTGACTAAATATTTAACATTATGAGATTATCCACACATACACATTAAGATTTTATATTTCTAATGTAACAGAATAAAATGAATGTGATGTTTGTGGTTGTCAAACAAACCCAATGTGTGTTAATAAGATGACCAAACGAGATAAATGATTATCCCATGTGTGAGTGTTGCTTCTGTCAGACTTGATCTGTGCCTTCTCGTTAAAATGGTGGAGGCTAGCGACATGGTGGGAGGGGTTACACCACAACAATGCAGAAAACAGGTTGATATTCCTGAGCATAGCATTTAAGTGTAGCTTTTTATAATATTGATGTCTACAATCAAAATAAAAGCTTTCATTAATAATAGTAGCAGTAATAATTAAAGTTCACTATATTACTTTATTATGATTATGCATTTGCTAACAATTTACTATGTACAGAAAACATGCTGGCATATTAGATGCCGAACCACTTCATGTGGCGGATGAGTAGCTCCTCCCGGGTGGCTGAACTCACCTTATCTCTAAGTGAAAGGCCAGCCACCTACACTTTAGATTAATTTTGGAAATTGCACTTAATAAAACTGCAATCCAAAAGTATGGACACACTTAATATTTTAACCTTGATATTTTTTGAGTTTGGATGAATAATTGCTGCTTTGCACAAAACTTTTATTAGTAATTAGAAAATCTGTTGTAAACTTATAAAACAAAAAGACGAGTAGGACTTCCAGATATTCAACAGTGTCATATTACTTCATATTAATTCTAGCTATCCCTTATTTAGACCTATAAATATGTAACGGGAATTGGGAATAGCTTGAGAATTAATGTTTATAAGAAAATATACACTTAAGTAGTTGATGATATGTTACAATACAATCCAGAATTCACAACCATGTTTTACAGGTCTTTTGTCAAGTTGTGCGGATGCTACAGAAGAGTTGGGATATGAAAATGTCATGGTGTAACCAAAGACTGGGTTTTCTATCAGCAGAAAAAAATATTTTATTAAGAAAATATTATTTTGCTACTAAAATATTTATTTAAAACAGAGGTTTGTTGTCACTACAGGATTTGTACAATTAAAAATACTACCATCAACTTTTTATTTATATGGCCTATAAAGGAATGCCACCCAAAATGGTGTAGACATATAGGAGATAACTCTGTACATTATTTTGTGTCATAACAATTATACATTTTCCCAGAGCTGCTTCTGTAGAATTCCACTTTATTTATACAGAGTATATCTTCTTAAAAGTTTCAGGCCTATAGCACTTCTAATGACAGTTTTCACAATTTGATAAGCAGGTGCTCAGTTATTATAGCAATTTGTGAAATTTCAGTTTACGATGCTATTGAATATACTTCTGTTGATATTGGCTCAATATGGTTTTAATATGAACATACATTTAATAAAATGTGTTTGTAACATTAACCCGACTTTAAAAATGTTATTTAATTGTTTATTTTGGGAGGACTACTCTTCTACGTCATACAACCGTCTATATTGTAGAAGTAACATACGGTCAGTGATATAAATAATAAGCCCGCAGGTTGCGAAGTCGATTAATAATGCCTTCAGGTCCAGACAGGTGAACCATCGACAGGGAGCACTCTTTACTCGATTAGACCGCACTCTCCGTACAAGTTTGTTTTAAAATGGCGGCAGAAGCATCGACACAGGTATGAAATCTTAACGATTCCGGAGAAACTTGAGAAATGCGCTTGCTTCTATGATTCACAAAAGAGCGGAGAAGCACTTCCTGTCCTGCTGTGATGCCGGGAAGGCTAAACCAACATGTCTCTCTCATTTTAAAAAGTGTTGGTTCCATTTGAGGAAGCGCTCGTGAAATTAGTGAGTTGGCGTCAGCGGCAAGTGCACTTGGCGAGCAAGTGCGGTTCAACACGGCGTTTGTGTGTTCACTGGCCGCATTCCGACTGAATTCCGGGGAATTTATTCGACAACAAATGAGCTGACTTCAGTGCTGTTCGTTTGGCCGAAGCTCCGCTGAGGAGGCTGGGAGTTGATGGTGGTGCAGCACTAGTCACAGCATCATCATGGACCACTCCGGCCAGCGCCTACCTGTCACCCACCTGTAGCTTTAACCGGCAGCATGGCCAACACGGCCCACGACACACAGGACCGGAGGGAGAACCACTGTGGTACGTTACTGTCGAGCACGGTCTCAGTTCTGTGTATTTATCGCGGTTAGACAACATGACATGTTCACCGTGACCCTGACACTGAGTGTGCTGCCCTCCCTGGTGACGTATGTCACACCAAACTACATTAGAAAAACTTTTAAAAATCAAAACTATGTAATATCGCGAATTTACACAGATGTTTAACTATGACCAGTTGAATAATTCGTGTTTTATAGATACGGGCATGAATTCGGCATAGATTAATTATACATTAAACAGCACTTGCACTTTTTATTTCGTCACATATCTCAAATATCAAGCGTCACTGAGTGAGTTTGCAAATTGCTATGGCTAGTCTTCAGTTCTGCACATCATTTCAGAATAAATAAAACTTGAACTTTCATTCAATTTTGTAGAAAGTGATATTGGCATGGAATAAATATTTGTAACCACTCCCGAAAACTGGAATCCTCCATATACCTGACACAGATATTTGGAATTGGGTTATGCCATAACACGTGATGTGCTTTTAAACAAATGCAGGTAAACTGAAAACTGGCTCCATTGCTTGTGAAAGTGTTGGCCCACTTTTCACAATTTCTGCTGTTAGTCAGGGATATAGTGGCGTAATATTGCATTTCCTTATGGTGTCCATAGAGTCATCATATCATGACTTGAAGAACCAGATTTGTGTGTGTGTGTGTGTGTCTGTGTGTGTGTGTCTGTGTGTGTATTCAAATAGGCGGCTAAGTTGGGCAGACAATGAAGGCAATCTTGTTGTTTCTGTTTCATTACTTTTACAAGAACAAAAAAAACTCTGGTGCGGCCGCATGCTTCACAGCTTTTACATTTCAGTGCTTAGCTGTTAAGACCTTTTAATATTTTCAGAATACATAGCAGTATTAATAATAATGACCGTAGGGTCATCATCATTAATTTTGACATTTGTTGGTGACCTCTCCTCTACTTGTATTTTGATTTCTACAGTGGCACAACCTGTTGCTGTGTTTTGGGACAAAGTCTGCCTGGCTCACATGACTACCTGCAGGTCAGGGTTTAGAGCTTGGGTAAAAATCTGGCTTCGTGTGTCAGTGCGTTGGAGAGCACTCAACTCTTTTAGGGTTTTGACTTTGAAAGGGTATTTATTTTTACTGATTAGGGCGTGGTTGGTTTAATCGTAACCTGTTTACTGTCTTAACATGCCTGTCGTTTATTTCTGTGTGATTAAATTTAGGAAGTCGGGCCACTGTGAGTTATGTAGTAGGAACACTAAACCCACCATGTGTGCTCTGAAGTTTATGAGAGTTTCCCTTGTTGCCAGAGTGCAGGAGATAACACCCCCCCTCCCCGCATCAGAATTGGTTTAATGAAAGGATTCCTGAAATTCTCTCCTGTCACTGCTAATGCAGCTTAGAGCTTAGACACACTAGCTTCTAAGCTGGGGTTGGAGCATGATGGAGCCCAGCAGAAAACATGTTCACATTACACTGCAGACTCCAGTTACAGTCGGGTTACTTTAGGATTAGTTTTCACCTAGTTAGGCTCACATGCTCGTGTATCCAATGTCAATTAGAGGAAACCTTTAATCCTGTTGTATTAAAGCTACCAATATCAATGAGATGTACAGTCAAAAATAACTTTTCTGCAGTTTTTCTGCCTAGCCCATTAATTCTAATAAAGCTGTGGTTATTTGATTGAGCAGGTGTTTATTGAAAGGTTGGATGCCCGTATTAAACATAGACAAAGTGCAAGTATACGCGTGTACAAGTAAGTCCTGTGGGCCAAAAGCTCAGACTGATCTAGACACTTCTGGGTTGTTCTTTTTCTTCTTACTCTTGGGCCTTGATGATGTCATTGAGAGGCGATATCATAGATGTGGTTATTTGAGCTGAAGGTTCTGTAAGCACAGAAGCTTCACTCACATACTGTTCAAACTTTGTTTGTGAAGGAGAGAAGTGGGATCATTTTGGCTAAAGCCCACGAATAACAACACTGAGCTGTCAAATGACCCCTATATAGCCTCTTTAAACAAAATGCAAATTAAAACATTTCAGTTATGGTGCAGTCATACTAGGGAAAACTTTGGTGTGGGACCACGACATAACCAAAGGTATTCCAACTGTGTGCAGTGAACTTGAGATTTATTTTCCTAGTTGCTTTGAAGACAGTGCAGTCAGTTGCTGTTATTAAATGGATTTTATTGCATCAAGGCGCCAATAAAATGAAAATATGATGAGTTTCCTATCAGTTTGCCATTGAATGGGTTTAAATTGGCATTTGTGTGCAATGCGTTTGATAAGATGGTGATTAGCTGTGACAAATCTTTGGAAACCAAAAATCTGTTGGTGTCTGTATATAGAGAAATTCACATTAAGGAAAAATGTGCATGAACTTGTATTCAGAGCGCAACCAGAACCTCAACAAGCTGAAAGAGAAATTAAGAAATTCCTCCACGAATAGGTTCTAGGTTCTTTATTATTTGTCACATGCATAGGTATGTAGATGCTGCAGGACGGTGATTTAACTGCAGAAAGTTAAAGCCATGTTCCACACAAGCTGTTTGGAGAAAGGCCGCTTCCCACCTTTGCAATCACATTTGGATCTCTGACCTCTTCAAGGTCAAATAAGGTCAAACTTTCATAAACTGTCTTATCTTTAACTGTTTAAAATTTTACTGCCTTCTGTTCATATTGGCAACATTTGAAACTGGTATATGGGAATACTAAATGTCACATTATAGTTTGCATCCAAATGCCATGTCACATTTCACCTCTGATCTCACTTTTATAATGCACTGCTTTTCTATCAATTTGACTCCATATTACATTATTCTTAGTGCTGTCAATAGAGTAAAAAAATAACTAATTAATTGCACAATTTTCTGTAATTATTCGCGATTAATTGCAATTACTTGATCAACAGCCTGGTTGCAATTACATTTTTTCAACTTTATATTTAAGCTTGTAACTGACATTTATGCAATATAATGAAGTAAATGGAGAGTAAACACAAAGAATGTATGCTTAAACTGGTTCTCACCAGTGAAATACAACTTTTTAAAAAACCTACATACTAATAGGAATGTCTTTATCCTGTTTTCCTTATCTCACCCCTTGAGCCTGGTTCTGCTCGAAGTTTCTTCCTGTTAAAAGGGAGTTTTCCTTCCCACTGTCGCCAAAGTGCTTGCTCATAGGGGGTCATATGATTGTTTGTTTGTTTGTTTGTTTTCTGTATTTGTTATTGTACGATCTACTGTGCAAGTACCTAGAGGTTATTTGGTGCTATATAAATAAAATTGAATTGAATTGAAAATTAATAGGTAATGTTTAATCCGATTCATCACAGGGTTACTCTGGATTAATTTTGATTAATCACAATTAAATACCATTTATTTTTATTCTATATTAATCACATTTAATTTTGCACGAGCAAACAGATTCAAGAAAAAAGGGAAAATATGCGTACTTAACATGTTTATTTATCTTGAACATTCATCTCCAAAAAGTTGATTCTGTTCATCTGGACGTAGCGTTTTGTGGGAGAAACGTTTCGTCACTCATCCAAGTGACTTCTTCAGTCTCAGCTGACTGCAGGTTTCCCCAATCTTATAAACAGTACATTTGCATAATGACTGAAACCAGCCCACTGAAGGACGTAGCGTTTTCTCCCACAAAACGCTACGTCCAGATGAACAGAATCTGGATGAACAGAATTTGGAGATTTATTTTCCTGGATGATTGAGAATGCATCAAGACCTTGAACATTCATGTTAACAAAAAACTCTGTAAACATTTATCCGCTCTCTCTCTGTCACTTTTGGGGAGGCTTCAAGTCCTTGAAACGAGGAACCAAAGCTATGTAAAGCGCATGTTCCCAAAGATATTAATAGGTCTGCAGTTTGTTGCAATCTGCCAATGCTCTGTGAGTGGTTTGTTGCAAGCTTGGTGACGCGTTAGTCCTAGCAGCATCCACGACTAATGTATGCTTCACGTCGATGTGATATTTTAAGATGGAAGTGCTTCGGTGAAAAGAGAATTCATTCTTTCACAATGTGCATAATACTATGTCGGTTGACTGTTCTGTCTTTTTTTTTTTTTAAATATTCAAACGTACTCAAACGTGCGTTTATCATCTTCTATATTGAGTTGTTTGGTTCAGCTGCCCGTCACTACCAGATCAACTGCACATTTGCACAAGTGTGAAGGTAACTCTACTTGGACAAACTGCCCAAAATGCGTTGACAGAAACATTTCGGGAATTTTGAATCATTCTGCACTCCAGATGCATTAATAGCGTTAAAAATCTTAATCGTGTTGACCGTGATGGCGGATTACTTTGCATTAACGCTTTAATTTTAACAGAACTAATTATTTTTAACCTTAGTGTATTAAAAAACAAAGAAAGAGACCAGAGAATGAGCTGCCTTGCCAGAAGTTTGCACTCTCTGTGCTTCTTTATTTCAACAATGTAACAATGGAATTGTCACTTTTTTTTTTTAACGTACTTTTTATGAAAGACTACAGCAAATTGGCTCAAACTAGTTATCAGGAGGTGAATAAATATATTTATGTTGTTAAACTGAAATTTCTGTTTCCTACAGTTATGCCTGGAGGAACCATAGTGGAGAATGGCTCTGTGGTCAAAGACCCGACGGCCTCTCACCTAAATGATCACATCAGCAATCACTGCCATGAGGCCAGAGCGGCCACACACAGCAACGCCGTCCTGCCCATCTACAAGCCATCCTGCTCGCCCACTACTGTCTGTTATAGCAGCCCACAGAAAAGTTACCCAGACCTGGAGCCAGACAACCACAGCCTGACTTCCCAGGACTCTGGTATCCCCACTCTGGAGATCAATCCTCCGGAGCCCTTCCTTCACAGTCACCAAAGGCAAAGCGACGGAGGCCTTATGCTGGAATCAAGTCACGACACCCCCGCCACATTACCTCTGGACAATGGTCCCTCTGATGGCACCACTGTACGAAAATCCTCCACCTTTCCCCGCAGTGGCTATGACAACATCCGCCTCTTTAGCCCCACCCTCAGATTATCCTCCACCATGGGAGCTGGTGTTGGGGGCGGAGCATTAAACCGTAGTGATGACATCTCTGTGTGCAGCGTGTCAAGCATGAGCACAGAACTGTCGGTCTCCAACGAAGACATCCTGGATTTCACAGTTACATCTGACTCCAGTGCGATTGTCACTTTGGAGACAGCCGACAGCAGCACTAACCACTTTTCAGAAGTGGTGTTGTCGTCTTCAGCGGGAACCTCCAGAGACTTATGGGCGGCAGAAGTCATGCAGAAAGAAGAGGATGGGAGGCAGAGAAAATTGGGACCACTAGCAAGTTTATTTGCAAGGTAAGTCCATGGTTCTGTACTTTGTATTTGTAACACCCCACCACACCCCCACAGACTATCTGTTCTTGTTTAATTATGAACAATTATCATATAAGAAATAAAAAAACCTGTAAAGTCAGTACCTACATTTTGGAATATTCAATTAACAATCATTTGAAACAAATGATTTAAAATAATAATACAACTGAGAAAGTTTTTAGACTCACGTTATTATCTATTTGTCTTATATATGAAATATTTTTGAGCTGTGTTTTTATTGGATGCATTTTTATTTTTTCAAAGCCTACAGTAGCTGTTTTTTGCATATAGATAATATATTTTGATGATACCTAACCTGTATAATCCACTGTCAACGATATACTCTACAACCTTGACCAAATCTAGGTCAATTGAATTCATGTGAGGTAATCTCAGGGTAAACATCTAAAGTTAATTACTCATTCAGGCATGTATTTATTTCATTACCATATTTATTAATGTAAATTAACAACAAACAAGAACAAATGTGATTCCATAGTTTTAAGGGTGCGGGGAATTCAACTTGTTTAAACATCAAAACAAAAACTAAGCCTAGACATAAGTCACTTTTCAAAAATCGGCAGCAGTGGTACACATCCCCACATTTTCTGTCTCTGTACCAAGATGGTGCCTGTAGCACCAAAGGACTCTGTCTCGCCCTAGCATCACCTGTCCCTCTCATCCTCATCATAAAGTCATCATATTCTGTGCTATGATTTATTTTTGTTTGTGGTCTTGCCACATGTGCCACAAACCTCATCTTAGCTGGTACATGACTCCGTTTGCAATCAGCCCTTATTGTCAACACGTAAGCCGTGACACATTTATATTGCAGCATTTTGCATCTCACTACGACAGGAAGGAGTTGTTCCTACCAATCATTTAGACGATCCCAATAACGGCTACTTTCCACTGTGTTCTTGTTAATGATAAAGTACAAATTTATTACTAAATTACTAAAATATCAATATTTTAATGTGAGAATCGATTCTAGAACATACATATCTGGTATCAGAGGAATCGTGTATATATCATAATAATAATGGATTGCATTTATATAGCGCTTTTCGGGGCCCTCCACTATTCCACTATTCATTCACTCTCACATTCACACACTGGTGGAGGCAGCTACAGCTGTACCCACAGCTGCCTTGGGGCAGACTGACAGAAGCGAGGCTGCCACATCGCGCCATCGGCCCCTCTGGCCATCATCAGTAGGCAGTATGTGAAGTGTCTTGCCCAAGGACACAACAACCGAGACTGTCCGAGCCGGGCTCGAACCGGCAACCTTCTGGTTACAAGACGAACTGCCAACTCTTGAGCCACGATCGATATATGGTGTGATCCACACACCACTACTTGTAATTTAGAATCTTTTAGAGGAGTTGCAGGATTTAGGAGGGACATTTGTAGAGCTTTTCTTTGGATATTGGCTGCCTTTTGTTTTATGAAAAAGCAGCAGTTGTCCAAAGGAAAAACTTTAAAAGACCTCCAGACAGCCTGATGTCCAAGAACACTTAAAAAAAAAAAAAAAAAAAAATCTAAAAAGCCTGTCTCTTTGGATGTAAACTACAAATTAAGGGCTGTAAACTTTCTTCAAGATCTTTGCACCATGCTGGAGTATAATGAAATATGTGGGCAGAAATGTTGATCTATCACAAATGTTATGAGGCCATAATAGGGCAGAAATAGAAGAAAAACTAAAAGCAGCATTGTAGCCAGCCTTACTGAGATAATACTAGATTGTCAACTTCCTCTTTGACTTGCAGAATTTGTATGCTTAAGATTGCTTCACAAACGTGCATTAAGCAAAATATCCCTCTGACCCATTCCACCACTCTTGGAAATTGCAGCTCACCCAGAACATAAAAGATCATGACCCTGACCTCTGCTTATCCAAATCATAGCCAAGCATGAGTCTGATAGCAGCTTTAAAGCACAGCAGCGACCTAGCTACCACTTACATGTTGTCTCTTGTGTTTAAGATACAGACTAGTATATGAACACCCCTGGTAAAGCCTGGTTTGCTTGTTATTCACACCTTTTGACACCAGCTCCCAGCACATCATGTTTCAATAGTACAAATGGACCAGTTAGACCAATTATTACTGATCCCATCCTTATAACATAAATCTAAAGTTCATTCATGTATGTGCTGAAGTTGTATTTGTTGGTAAAACAATAACAAAACCATGGTGAACAAAACAGATTTAATTTAAGCTCAGTGAGAATTTGCTGCTCTAATTTATGTTCACAGTAGTTTCTCAGCACTAAGCATTGCTCTTAGAGCCACACATGCAGAGTATGTCTAACAAGAAACTCCATATTCTACTGTAGGTGCAGTAAAAGCTTCACAAGTGCTAAAACGAACATAAAGAGAAAAGGGGCGAGAGCAGCTAACAAGGAAAGTGCTGTTTTTGGAGCTTCTGGCTCATGTTAACTCACTTGACTATAGTTTGCTGTTAATTACATGAATTACTGCAAACAGACTGTGAAATGCCTTCAAACGACTGACCCTTTGCCGTCAGCTTCCTCTGTGCTGTTTCATGTAGAAGTTATGAAGTTTCAGTGGTGGTTGCACGTTGCTGCTTTCAGATGGGGCCAGTGTCAAAAAGATGTGTTACATACAACTGGTCTGTTGACCACTGTTGTTTGTGCTGATGTTAGCGACTCCTGTTTGTACTCTTCATACTGTGTTTTTGGATCTTTGGGGTTTTCTTTTTTTCTTTCTTTAGGGGGGTGAGGGGGCCGTTTGCTTCAATATTCAACAAATGCACAGCGTGACCCAAATGTGCAGTTGGAATTTTTAGAGGCCTGCAGTGGAGCATATTTGTGCTGATTCAAAGCACTCTGTCCCCTTATATACGACTATCAGATATGTGCATCCCTACCCAGTATCTCAGATCCTGAGGAATTTTCTGTTTTCTGGCAGGGAACGTCCTTAACAGCATAACTTGTCCTGAGAGAGTGTGCACTGCTTCTCTGTTTGTGAAGACGATACTGTCATGACATTGCATCTAATGGGCTACTTCCCATTTCTGAATGTGTGCAGCTAAAGGTGTGGTGCTCCTTCCTCTTCCTCCTCCTTGTGCATGTTACAGATAGAGCACCTTAGGGGAACAGCAGTTTACTAAGACTATTTAAGATGAAGTTAGAGGGTTAAGTGCACAGAAAAGGCAGCAGGATGGTGACCGTAGTCCTCGTAGTAAGTAACTAAGTTAAAAAACGCCAGCCAACAAGAACATATCAAACTACTTAATTGCCTGAAGAAAATGCTAATGAGGTTTTTGATGTCTCACTACAAGTTTCATCATCATACTCGGGTTCAACTTGTTATAAGCTGGCACAGACATGCTAAAGTTACTTTCATTTGACTTACAGGTTTTTGCACACGTTCTGAGGAACGCTTTTAGTCTACCAAGATTTCTTTTTGTATTTGACCAGGCTCTTATTTCAGATCAAGTGTGTTGTCATGGATAGCTTGCATTTAGCACTACAGATGCTGCAGAGATTGTTGTGTGCATTGAGTTTTGAAAAAGTGTAATCTCAACTGAGACCGCTTTCAGCTTGAGGCTGCTGGTGCCATTGCCACGTGTGTCAGATCGCATGGTCTCATTCTTTCTTCCTCTAACCCAGATCTACTCTGCTACCGAAATGTAACATTTCATTGATTTAGTGTGTGAATCATTTCATATTTGGCATCTGGTGCAAGACTCTGCCAAATCAAACATGTGGAACTGCCCACTGTTGTAATAGAGCAGCTGAAAGTAGCCCTTTTCTTGTTTCTGTATTTGTGTAGGAGTTCACTTGGCAAATGAAAGCTGCCAAAAATGTGATGATTTGAGATGACCTTGGTTTAAATCCTCTTTTCATCGGTGCCTGGAGGTTTTACTTAAACGTAAGCAGAGACTCTATTTTAATTTTCAGACGCTTTATTTCTTTTAGGAACTGAAGCCAAACCTGGAATTTCCGTATTCTGTTTGACTTGCAAGAAATGTACTATTCCTCTCTGCTGAATGCATCTTTCCCAATATATATTTCAGGAAAGATGCATTTGAGTCAAAACCATGAGTTTACATTTTGTTTTGGTTGTAGTTATTAGATGGGTAGGATGACGGGAATGAAATGATCCACTGCCTGCTCTGGTTTTCCTCAAATTGAATCCAAGTTCCAAACACACTCAAAATGTTTACTGACTGAATTAATCAGTTAATGAGGTAACATCAAGTGTTAAATTGGCACTCCCTCAAACTCAACTCGTCATCCCTGGTTTTTATTCATTCGTCACAAGTAAAAGTTACTCATTTACTGATTGCCCTTCAGATTCCTGCTTCTCACACTCATTCCTCCTGTTCCTTACATCCCATTTGTTTAGAAGTCAGCCTTGTGACTGAGGAGGTGGGGACACAGAGGAGAGAGCAGCTCCCTCCTTTCCACTCTGCCTGAACAAAGGGCTGTGTAGGGCTTTTTTTACACTCTGTAGTAAAAGCCGTAAATGCAGTGGGACTTGCTGATCTATGAGTTTAACCACAGGGTTTTTGCTATTTTTCTGTTCCTCTTATCGTCTTTTGAAGCTTAGACTTCAGGCTCTTGTTTCTCTGTTGTGTAATTGCATTAACAGAGCAGGATGGCAACTCCATCGCTCATGCTGTACACTGACAGGTAGGACAATGAACAGTATTTGGTGGCATAAGTTTGTCTTGATTGACATGTCATGGCTACTGTTTCCTGTTGGATTTTTTTTTTTTTTTTTTCTGCTTGGCAGCTTTGAGCAGTTCTTTGTCCTGGTTATTTTATGTTTTCTATGACTTGAGTCTGCTTTTCTACTTGAGATGGCTTGTGTTAATTTTTTTGAGTCATGTCTCTTTATTGTAAATTCAGGCCTGTAACCATGCTGAGACACTTTATCACCTTATTTGCAGACATCAAGGCTGAAAACCAGATTTGTGAAATGCTAAAAATCTTAAAATCCTTTGGGGAAA